GCTTCCAACAACACAGATAAGCTTTTGTGTCTTTTCAGTACCATTGAGGGTGAGCTAAGGGGGCTTGTGGTGGGGGGCAGGATGGGGTGGGCAGGGCCTGAAAGTAGAACATGATATTTAAGACAGCCAGCCCTGGAAGCAGACACCAGGTGCCTGGGCTCAGACCTCAGCAGCCCCCTGAGCTAGCTGCTTGACCTTGGGCAATTCACTCACCACTCTCACTGCCTGGCTTTGCTCATTTGTTGACTGGGGCTATGCATAGTCCTGCCTCATTGGGTGTTTGTATTATGTAATTTAAGTAAGAATTTAGCTCAGAGTTGGATTCTTAGTATGGCCTCGAAAGACAGGGCTGTTACCATCACCTGGGGGGACTGGGCTTTGCCTGGAGTAGAGGAAACCCCTCTGCACTAAGCCTCCTTCCCCTTTGATATAAGAGATAACAACAACAACAAAAATAATGCTTTAAAAGTGGCAAAGTCTACTTAACCAACCATATAGTTTAAAGAGCATAAATTTGCAATGAAAAATAGCAGCAAAAAATGGGTCCTGTTAAATAAAGAGTAGCTATAGCTTTAGAAGTCCACAAAAGGGGAAGGAAGCCATCCCTCCACCTCCTGGACCTGAGCCTTCAGGGGGGAGCACACAAGTCCAGCCTATCCCGGCTGGCCAAGGCCTTGGTGCTGCTTGTTTGCAGTTTGTCTGCACCATCCTCTCCCATTCTCCCTCTTCCTTCTCGAAATATATTCCTGCCTCTCCTGGCTACCTTGTCCTTTTGTCCTGGCATCTTTAAGCAACAGTAGGGAAACAAGAAATAAAAATTAGAGGAAGGAAAGAAAGGAAGGGAGGGAGGAAGGAAATGAGGTTTTGAATCAACAAAACCTGGATCTAATCCCAGTGCTACTACAAATCATGGGGGGTGGGGAGTGGGGAGGGTGTTGGCTGACCTTGAGTAGGTTCCAGCACTCTGTGAGCCTCAGGCCTATTGGGAATTCCCAGAGCCTTCAAGTTCCCTCTCTCAGCTTTCTTGGGTCTGTTTGTTTAGGGGAGTAAAAGGTAGAAAGGAGGGCAGGGGTGGGTCGGTGGCTTATGCCTATAATCCTAGCACTCTGGGAGGCTGAGGCAGGTAGATCACTCGAGGTCAGAAGACCAGCTCTGAGCAAGAGCAAGACCCCCGTCTCTACTAAAAAAAATAGAAATTATCTGGACAACTAAAAAAAAAATATATATATATATATATATAACACAATTAGCCGGGCATGGTGGCGCATGCCTATAGTCCCAGCTACTCAGGAGGCTGAGGCTGGAGGATCGCTTGAGCCCAGGAGTTTGAGATTGCTGTGAGCTAGGCTGACGCCACGGCACTCTAGCTCAGGCAACAGAGCAACAGAGCCAGACTCTGTCTCAAAAAAAAAAGGTAGAAAGGAGGAAGAAGGCAATAAGAATCAAACGCACTGTGGAAACGGGGTTTGGGAAGGCCAGTTCTCCACCACTCCCCATTTCCTCCCAGGACAGCTGGTGCACTTCTTTCCCCATTGGGGACTCACTCATTTCAAGCATCGCCAGTGGAAATCTCTGAGCCCTTTGACAGCTCTTGCTTGGAACGGGGCCCCTTGTCAGTTTCACTGAGGTGACAACTTAAGCATTAAGGGAGGCAGTAGGGTGTAGCAGTTAACCACTGCCTCACTCCACCACTTACTACCCTGTGATCTCGGGGAAACTCCTCCCCTCCTCTGTCCTTTAGCTGCCGCACCTGTGAAATGGGAGTCTGGATTGTAGGGAGAATTAAAATGAGTTCATGGACATCAAACTCTTGGGGGCCTGGCTCACAGGAAGTGCTTGGTAAGTGGCAGCTGTTTCTTATGGTCCAACTAGTGGGTGCTTGTTTCAGGGCTGACCCAATGACTTGCATTCACAACACCCTTGTTATCTGGGCACCGAGGAAATGCTGGCTAAGATTGTTTCTCTTCTCAGTTGCTGCATCGCTGCTTGTTCTGTAGCCGAGACCACTGATGCAACAAGGATTTGGTTCTTTCCAAGGCTGCGGTGTTTTATTTGTTATTAGTGGCCATGTTTTTATTGCACTATTTCACCTGCCATACAATGTCCTCTCCGATTAAAATAATAACACCTTCAGTTAATAATACCTTGCACTTAGGAAGCTGCTTTCATCCCAACAGCTCAAAGCCCTCTACAAACATGACCTCATTCATCCCCCTGTGCTCTCGGGAGGGGGGCACTCCCAGGTTTCCAGCCATTCATCTCCAACTAGATTCTCAGAAGCCAACGTATTGATCAAGCACTTCCACCTCTCAGGACCACAAATCACAGGATCTGTTGCCTTCCCTCCTGTTCCCAGAGTGACCTTACACCTACAGAAGATAACCAGAATCCTGTCCTTCTGGCCTGGGGGCCTGGCCCTCCATGCTTCATTCAGGTGACCACAGCTGTGCCCTAAAAACAGCAAATTTTAAAAAAACCTTCGGATAAACTGCCTTGATATCTAGGAAATAACAGGTTTGGCAATTTGGGACCCTTGTCTTCCTTGAGAACTTCTTGATTAAGACCTAGGGGGTCATGGGGGATGTCCTACTGCAGCCAGAAATGTCTCTGCCCAGAGTAGACCCTACTACTCATGGCCCTGGCATGTTTGACACCTGTATGTACTTGTGAAAACCTGGCGCTCCACAATGACAGTACTTCCTTGTTCTGGGGCTGCTTGTGGCCCCAGCTCCCCGGCAATGTAAGCCGCGGGCTGCTCACTTTTGTTTTCACCATGCAATTACTGGAAGGGAAGGGTTGCATGCTGTACTTCACTCTCTGGTCACACTCTGGGAGTCAGCCCAGGCACAGGAAAAAGCTGACTCCTACCCCTTCAAAATAAACAAATAAGCAAACAAAAAGACTAACCAAGTGGAATTAACTCATCATAGTGCCTAAGGCTGTTTTTCATCAGTACATAAGCATTAGTTGTAACCTTTCCCTTATTTATACACTTAAAAATATAGAGAGACAAGTTTTCTTAGATGATGAGTTAAATCCACTTTAGGCAAAGTCAAAACCATGGCTTGCTTTCTTATTATTAGCCTCTTTCTGTTCTGAAGACCCTTAACTAGTTAAAATGTATTCACTAATTAGTAGCTCACATAAAAAAAAAAAAACTTATTATGTTTTCTGGAAACAGAAACTCTAACAGTGAATCCCTGACAATATTTACCTTCCTAACCTCTTCTGCCCCTTCCCTAATCTGCTGAGACTCCTAGTTCTTTCTTACCCCCACAATTCCTAAACACAGCCCGGAAGGTCAAATGCTAATCCAGAAGGTAGAAGCTCAGCACTTATGAATGATTTTAAAGGGCTATTGTTGAGAGCTAGTATTGTAACAGAGTAGTTGTCCTCCTCCCATAGATATGGGAAAGAAATATGGAGAGTGGGGAATATGTAACAGAGAGAATGGCCTGAGAAAATGGCAAAAAATATTTTCTGTTTTTTAAAAACATCCTCCTCTCCTTTTTGAGAACTAAAACCTACATCCCTGCCTCAGACCAGTGGTTGGGAGGGACAGGGTAAGTCTTTTGTTATTTGTGCTAAAGTAGATGGCTCAGCGGAGGACCTGGTAAAGGGAGAGCTTGGGTAGAGGAGCAGAGATGGGAGATCAGAATCAACTGTAGTTGAATAGTAACTGCCTGAAGCTGAGAACCCATCCTTTAAAAGCTCTGCATTTCTGCTTATTATTGGGACGATGGCATTTCAAACAGGAGTCTCCATCCTCCTCCTTTGCCAGCAAAGTAATACAACTTCTCTTTCCTCCTCCTCAAATCACTTGCTCTTTCTTCTTCTTTCTTTTTATTTCAGCATATTATGGGGGTACAAATTTTAAGGTTGCGTAAAATGCCCTTACCCCCCCACACACAAGTCTGAGCTTCAAGCGTCCCCCAGACGGTGGATATCTCACTCATTATGTGTGTATATACCCGCCCCTCCTCCCCCCTCCCACCTGCCCAATACCCAATAAATGTAATTCCTATGTGTCCACTTAGGTGCTGATCAGTTAATACCAATTTGCTGGTAGTATATGTTGTTCTCTTTCTTCTGATGCAGCCTCGAGGACCAAGTGGCCAAGCATTCACTAACAGTCCCATCTACTTGGGAGACTGAGGCAGGAGGATCCCTTGAGCTCAGGAGTTGGTGGCTGTAGTGAGCTATGATCATGCTGCTAGACTCCGGCTTGACCCTGTCTGGGGGGAAAAAAATAAACTCGTCTTGGGATATTAGTCACTAAGAAAGTCTCACTTTTTTCTTTGTACATTAATATTGGCTCACATCTCCAGAGAGCAAAGTCTTTGGTTTAAAACCTGGAAAATACTGATCGATCCTTGTGGGTGTGTAGTGATTAGAAGGTGGCAGGGAGGAGGTTCTTGGGGTGCAGGTAATGTTCTTTTAATTGATCCGGGGGCTGTCCACTTTGTGAAAAGTCAGCGAGCGGTACCTGTGACATCCGCACTTTCCTTATGTGTGTTATATTTCAATAAAAGAGTTCAAAAAATGGGACTACTTGAAAGTTATTTAAAAAATTAAATGCCTTTGAGACATGAGCAGCTGCAAAGGCTCTGTTTTCTATTTTGATCATTCTGTTTCTCGAGATGACCACATCTTTCAGAGGAAGTGAGTCAAAGCCACTCTGTCTCGCTTTTCCAGCTGAGCATGTTCAGTTTGAATGAAGTAATGAATGAACTTGGCCGCACCACCCCCAAGCCTACAACAGCAAACAGAGGACCTCGGCCAATCAGCAGGCACTCAAGGTTTTCAAGTTGAGTTCAAACAGGACCCTGGGAGGCCAATCAGCGCGCGAGGCCCCGCCCCGAACTCCCCGCCGCGGCCAACCACGAGGCCGGACGAGCCAAAACACAGCGGCCGACCAATGCCCGGGAGCCCCACGGCGCCGAGCTCCGCCAATGGGCGCGGCCGGGCCGAAAGAGAAACAGTGCGGCCCGGCAGGCCGCAGGGTTCGAATAGAACGTCCGTCCGGGAGCCGGGCGCTGGCGGAGCGGCGCGCCGGCCAATCAGCGGCGGCGACTCGCGGCCCCCGAACGTTGGGACAGCGGCCCCGCCCCGCGCTGTTGTTTGTGGTGTCGGCCGGCCGCGGGCGCCGGACCACAACATTCGCCGGCGGCGGCCGAGCGGCAGAGCGCCATGTCGGGGAACACGGACGAGCTGCGGCACCAGGTCATGATCAACCAGTTCGTGCTGACCGCGGGCTGCGCGGCCGACCAGGCGAAGCAGCTGCTGCAGGCGGCCCACTGGCAGTTCGAGGTGCGTGCGGGCCACCCCGACGGACGCGCCCGCCCCGGCGGGGACTGCGGGCCGGGGGCCGGGGCTGGGCCGCGGCGGGCGGGGAGCTCCGTTCGCGTCGGCCGGTCAGGCGGTCCGCGTCCGCGAGGTGTCGCGTGGGGCCGGGGCCGGCACGCCGGCACGTGGGGCCCGGCGGCCGGGGCCGGGGACCGGGCGCGGAGTCGGGGTGCAGCGCGGCGGGGAGGCCCGGCCGGCGGGTCTGCTGCCCTCCGCCGGGCCCGGGCCGCGCTCACCGCCGCTCCTCCGCCGCGTTTGTCCGCAGACCGCCCTGAGCACGTTTTTCCAGGAGACCAACATTCCCAACAGTCACCACCACCACCAGATGGTAAGTGCCGTCGGAGGGGCGGGGGCCGGAGCAGGGCCGGCGGGCGCGGGGCCGCGCGGGGGCCGCTGTCAGCCCCGCGGTGACAGCCATGTTGCCGGGGAGCGCCGCGCCGCGAATGTAAACAAAGAGCCAAAATGTCTTCCAGGAAAGAGCGGCTCCCAGGCCGGCGCTGGCTCCTCCAACTTTGTGGCCCGCCTCCCGGGCTGCTGCCTCTTGGCCCGAGGCCTTGTGCCTGGCTCCGTTCCCAGGGGGAAGGGGCACCAAAGTTGGGGGGGTGGCAGGGAGGGGGAGACGGCCAGAGGACAAGCCAGGGACTCGGGGGCTGGGAGACCCTAGTGGCTGGGGAAGGAGAGGGGGCTCGGATGATAACCAGGCAACTGGGGAGCCTCATTGAAGGGCCGGTGGCCAGGGAGTTGGGGTGTTTGTGTTTGCGGGAGCTCCCTTTGCTGTTGAGTGGCAGCCCCCTCCCCCCTCTGCGCGCGCGCGCGCACACACACACACCTACCTCCCCCCCACCCCCACCCCCCAGCGCTACAGGGAACAGGAAAGGCATAAATCCACTGTGGCTCAGGAAGCTGGGCTCTACCCACAAAGGTATGTTCGCCCTTCTAAAGCCCAAGGGGACTGGGAAGCCCCGAGAAAAGACATACACCAAGCATTGAGGACACATGGATTTTGACCCAAGATAACGCCAGGAATTTGCATTGAATCTCAGTATGTTTGGATACATACAGCCTCAGATCAAGATTTGCTTTCTTCTCCTTTCCAGCCTATCCCCAGGCCCAAGCCTTTGCCCTCCTGGCCGTGATGTACCCTGCTTTCTTGAGGCCCAGTACATCCCTTCTTCACCCCACCCCCCTAGTTACCTATTAGCCCGCTGGGGAGGAGGGCCTGGGCTCAGTGATAGGGACTGTAAAACATTATTCCCCAGATCTGTTGTGGCTTCTCGAGTACATTTTTGGCATTTTTAACACTTGGTGTCCTTGCCCATGGCTCCCTCCAGAGCAGAGGCTGCAAATGGTTCCCCTGTTGTGTCTTGTCCTTGGCTCCCTGTTTTCATTTAGTCACAAAGGACAAGTAGAGAAGGGTCTGTCTTGACCTTTTTAACTAGCTTGTCTCTTGCAGTGGTTCATGCTGGTTATAAATCAAATAAAAATGGCATTTGGAGTGTGATAGAAGGACAGTGCTGGCCACAGGGCTCCTAGTAAACCCAGAAGGGGTTTGTCTCCAGAGACACCCACCCTGCATCCACATGGGAAATCTCCAGCTCCCGCCTTGAGTTTTGCTCCTGCCAGCTGTGGCTGTTCCAACAGCCATTCTGGGGGTTGGGCACAGGGAGGCTCCCTGGGAAGAGCTGGTACTGGCATCCTGTCTAGTTCCTGTTGCCACTTGTCTGCAAATCCCAGGGTGATTGCTACACAGAAAAAAGCAGCCCGCAAGGGAGGTGCAAGCCTGTAGAACAAGATAATCAAGAGACCCAGCAAGGAACACCGCTTGAGCACAGGAGCAGCACAGTGGAAAACACCATAAGGAAAAAGTTAAAAACACCAGAGACCAGGAAAAACAAAAAGACAATGGCACAAAAAACAACAAAGCCCAACTAACCCAAAAATAATGGAAATGAAAAATGAAGGATGACAGAAGAGACACACAGGGACAACAAGAGCACCACATAACAAACAGCCAGAAAGCAGTCGGAGAGGCCCAAAAAGAGAGAAAGGCACGACACGAAAAAGGACCAAACAAGAAAGAGGCAGGGAACACAGAATGCACGGGAAAAAGAGAGGAGGGGAAACAGAAATCTGGGCAAAAACCCTCACCCTATCAAACCAACCACAAGCCCAAGAAACCCGACAACAAAGCAAGGCTCACCCAGGCAGAACGAACAAGGCCCACTAAACAAGAAGGCCCAGAGAGGCAGAATGAACCAGCACACAAGACCAACGAAACCGCACACAGCCGGGGAAGCCGCCCACGACGCGCACAGACAACCGCCCCACACCACACAAGCATCCTGCCCAGCCACCAAGAAGACAGCCCTGCAAGCCCGGGGCACAGAAAACCAAAAAGAGCAGCGAAAAGACATACAAAGGGACAAGCAAGGAGCAACACGCATCAGAGCCAAACCGCCAAAAACAAAGTAAGAGACCAAAACAACAAGAAAAACAGACCCCCCACCAACAGGCGACAACACCCAGACCCATGGCTTGAGCTGAACCGCACAACTGTAAAACCAACACCCTCGAAGGACAAGACAGGAGGCTCACCCCACATCACGACCTGGAGAACAGCCCGAGCAAGAGAAAAACACCAGACATACAAAAAACACAAAAAGCATCCAGGCAAAAGAAAAAACACCTATAAGCCCACAAACACCAGAGGCTAAGGCACGAGCACCAAGTGAGCCCAGCACCCGCACCCAGCGAGGAACTACCAAAAGGACACGCAAAACAACGAAGAGACACCAAGCAAAACAAGAAAAAAAAAAAAAAAAAAAAAAAAAAAAAGAAACAAAACAAAAACCAAGGACACAGAGACAAAGCAAAAGAGAGAGGAAACAGAAATCCAGGACCACTGCAACAAGGAAACACAGACCCAACGATACAACACGGCGCAAATCCCAACAAAGCAGGCACAAACACCGAGAAACCGCCAAAGAGAAAGGAGCAACGTGCACGGAGAAGGACGAAGGTGAGACAAAAAGACTGGACAGAAGGCCCGCAGAACCCAAACTAAAAAGCTCCAGACAAAACATCAAACCACCAAACATCGCGATAACAAGAAAGAGAAAGGCAAAGCAGGCAGGGCCCAGACGCCCCAAGCACCGGGAAGAAGCCCACACAAAGAGACAGGAAGCAAAGAACATGACTCCCAAAGGACAACAACTCAAAAAAGACAAAACCACAGAAAGCCAAAAACGGAGAACATCCAAGAACCAAGAAAGAGAGAAGACAGAAAATAACACCAAGCCATGATCCAAAACAGAACACAAAAAACTGACACAAAAGCAAAAGGAGAGAATCACAAAATAAAAATGGCCACAACAAGGGGTCAAAAACACGCAGCAGCAAACCCACCGGCAGAGCACAAAGTCAGGGAACACGGACCAGCTGAGGCACCAGGGCACAAGAAAACAGGGCGGCCTGACCCCGGGCGGAACGGCCGACCACCCGAAAAAGCGGAGGAAGGCGGCCCACAACCAGGGCGAAACCCCCCTGAAAACCGCTGGCAACCAGACCAACAGCCCCAACAACAACCACCATCACCAGAAGCAGATGTGTACTCCCAGCAACACACCTGCCACGCCACCCAACTTCCCTGACGCGCTGGCCATGTTCTCCAAGCTTCGAGCGTCCGAGGGCCTGCAGAGCAGCAACAGCCCCATGACAGCCGGGGCCTGCTCCCCGCCTGCAAACTTCAGCCACTTCTGGGCCTCATCCCCCCCTGGCCACCAGGTGCCCTGGCTCCCACCCTCCTCCCCAACCACCTTCCACCGCCTCCACTGCCCACAGCCCACATGGCCCCCCGGAGCGCAGCAGGGGGGCGCCCAGCAGAAAGCCATGGCGGCCGTGGATGGCCAGAGATGAGACTGGGTGCCGCTGGGCGCTGGGCTGGAGCTGGGGGCAGTCCAGGGTTGTGGAGACACAGGAGGGCCAGGGAGGGGGGCTGGGGAGGGCGGGGGGTTTCCTGAAGATCGCACTGGAAGATTTTATAAAAGAATTTTTGTGGGTGGGGGGACAGTAAACTTCTTGGGCCACTTGGGTCCTTGAGTTTCTCTTCAGGCAAGGTTTTTCCTCTTTTTAATATATAACTATAATATATATGAATATATAAATATAACTAATGTATTTGAGAATGGAGCGTACCTGGGTGCTGGAGTCAGAGGAGAAAGGCCCAGACAACCCTTCTCTGGGGCCAGCACCGCTTCCCCCGCCCAGCCTTGCCCTGGTCTTGTGGGACAGGGGTGTGCTTCAGAGCCGGATGGAACGATCTTCTGTCAGCTGCCTCCTTTCAGAAGTCACACCTTCTGATATCGTCAAGCGGACCTCACTGCTCCAGGCCTGGGGGCAGCCCAATAGCAGCTGCAGAAGGGCCTGGGGCTTCAGGGGCTCCCCCCATAGCCAGCCCTGGGGTTCTGGGCCCAAGGGTCCTCCCCATCTCCTCCCCCTCACCCCTGATTGCTGGCTGTCACCCCTGTCTGCAGCTGGTTGTGCAGGGCTGATAGGGCACTGAAGAGCCGGCTTGGGTCAAAGGCCAGGCTCTGCCTACTGGGGACTTGACTGTCCCACAGGCACCCTGCCCCTCGGGCTGCACGTCCAAGGTCCCCGGGGAGATCCTGTGGGTTAGTTCCCACATCAGAATCCTGCCTCACCAGGGTGACATTTTAATTTAAAAACTTAAAAAGAGACTTTTCTAACTTCCCTGGTTTGTGGTGCTTTTATTTGCCTTAGTAGGAAAAGCCATCTCCTTGGGAGATGGGAAGAGGGACAATGAGTCTCTTGGCCATGCTGTGGTTGGGTGGGGTGCCATTGCCATTTGGCTGGTCCGGATGCTTTGTGATGTGGGGCATTCACACCAGGAGGTCTGATGGCACAGGCAGGATCCAGACTGGGGTGGGAGGATGGGGGTGGGGAGGGGCAGGGGCGAGTCCTGAGTTGGCTGCTATAACCCTCTTTCCTTCTGGGCCCCTATCCGTGTAGCCCCTGCCTGGACAGCCTTCAGGGCTCAGCCCTGGAAGCCGTCTCCATCTGCGGTGGGGAGAGCTGCCCTTTTCACCTGGTGGCCTGATGCTACCTGCCCCACTGCCTGGCACCTTCCAGCTGGTCCATGTCCGCTCCTGCCCTCAGCTCCCTCCAGGGCCATGTGTTTCTGTGGGCCTGTTGTGTGGCTATGTCCCAAAGGTCAACCAAAGCTGTCAGAGCCATGAGACGAGGTGGGTCCCCAAAGGGACTTGCTTCCACTTCCTCCTCCCTACAGCCCTCCAGGCATTAGAATGGGGCAGTGTTGGCAATTCCTGACCAGCACACCTTTCTCAGGTTGTCCTCTAGTGCAGGTGCTCAGGTAGGTGGGGGGCACCATCTCCTGCCCCTCATTCTCTGCAGGGGTCTGAGGGGGACCAAGTGCTGCCAGGACTGACCGGGATTGAGGGTTGGAGGTTGAGGCCCAAAGTGAAGTGAAACTTAAGCGGGCCCAGACCGGCAGCCACCCCATCCTGCTCTGGGCCTTCTCGTATCTTCTCACACTCGGTGGGTGGTGGGGCAGCCCCTCCTGCAGTGGGCCCAGCTGCTCTCTGCCTCCTCTGCGTGTGACATGCCCATATACTTGGAAGCTGGGTTTGTCCTTTCAGTTTTGTTTCCTGGTTGGAAACCCCTGAAACTCCTCCCACCCTCACCCCTTCTTCTGCCCGCCTGTGCTTTCCAGGCTGCAAGGGGCAGCCCCTCAGCACGTGGATGGTCACGCTCCAACATCCCCAGAGGCTGCTGGGGCCTGGGTTAGGGTCTGCCCGAGTGCGGGGCCCAGCCTGGCAAGAGAGCCTGCTGGCCATGCCCAGGTGTGCTATGGTGGGGGTTGGCCTGGCTGGCTCTGGGAATGTCACTCTTGGCCCTTCTGGGCGTGGGGCAGGGTGAGGAGGGCTAGGCTGCCCCTCCCTGCCAAGCTGGTGGTGAATTTGGCTTCTAGGCCAGGGAAACTGAGCCGACCTTCTGACATTTCGCAGCCAGGGTGGGGCCTGAGCGAGAGAAACAGGAGCCGGCTGGGGTGGAGGAGGGGCCAGCCCTGGCTCTGCCTCCCCAGTGCAAAAGAGGGGTGCAGAGGGGCACGGGCACAGGGAGCCCACCCAGGACTCCACTGCCAAGCGACTCCTCCCCGTCCAGCCACGAGCATGACGTTGTTACCTAAAGAGTCACTGGCTCTCCGCAGATCAGGAGGGAGCCCCCGCCGCCCCACGGCACCCCCAGCCAGGCCCGCCCTCCTTTGCCCACGCCATGTCAGGGTGAGAAACCTGTTTCTGGGCTGTTTCCTGCCACTCTTTCCTCTTTACACCCCGAGCGGGCCTCTTGCCCTTGACAGCCCTTTCCCATGTCCGGGGGAGATGGGAACTGGAGGTGGGGGCAGCCCCATCTTTGATCTGGTACTTCCTTCTCTGGGTGGGAGCCTCTGGGCAGACAGAACCGTGTTGACTGCGGGCTCTATAGGCCTGGTAGGGGGCAGCTCTCCCACCTCAGGGGGGGCCTAGAATCCGGCTGAAGTCCAAGCCCAGGATATCAGGGGATTCCTCAGTCCTGGCTGCAGCAGTGGTGGGGCTTGTTCCTTGTTGTTGCTGCAGCAGCCTGAGCTCAGGCCTACCCATGTTCCTCTGTCCCCTCCCACCCGCCAAGACCTTTAGCACGAAGGACTGGGTGGAGGAAGCAGGGAGTCCTTGCAGGTTAGGGGGCTAGTGTGGAGATGAGCACACAACTGAACAGTCCAAGGACGAGGTCACAGGCCTCTGGGCCAGTGCTGGTCCCACCTCTCAACCCCCCTGGCAAGACACTCTTGTGCTCTTATCTCCCTGGGGAGGAATGGCACGGAGAGAGTGATCATTAGCCATGGCACCCCCTGGCCCAAGCCCACTCGAGGCTGAGCAGTAGAGGGTGGCAAACAGTGCCCTCCCCAGCTGGCTGTAGGAATTTTCTTCCGGCTAACGACACTGCTTCTCTGGGACCCTGTGCCAGGAGTGGAGAGAGCAGCAGGCAGCTGTGACCCTCACTTCCAGGGAGCAGTGCGACACCCACAGCACAGGCCCCAGCCTGCCTAGAGGGCCTCAGCAAGCAGGGTGCCCTTCAGGCCAGGCCCCCAGGCCAGAAGGCAGGGCAGGAGCCAGGGAAGGCAGCAGCACCCCAGGTCTAGCCAAGATCAAGAGAGAGCTGCCGGGGTGAGAGCAGGCTCAGCCGGTGCCGGGGGCCAGGCCCAGAGCCTGGGGTCTGCTTTGTGTTGCCCTCCCTGCCTAGGTGCAATGCCCAGCCAGTCTGAAGCCCCAGCACCCTCAGAGAATAGAGGTTATAGGTTTAATCCTCAGGCTACAGAGCAGACCCTCTCCAAGAGGTCTGCCTAGGGGACTGGGGGTGGTCTGGAGGCGCGTTGAGGGGCTGGCTGCCAGCCAGCAGTGGGCACCTCCCTCTCACTCCGTCTTCCTGAGCCAGGACTGTTAGAGAAACCTCGCCCAACCTGAACTTTTTCCTGAACATTTATTTATAGGTCTGATCGGTGAGCAGTGGTGGACCGCGGGCCCCGGGTGGGCTCCTCCATCCCCTCCCCTGGAGGCACGTCCATGTGCATCTGCAGCCCCTGGGGGCTGCCCCGCAGCTCTACCATCACCATGGGGCTGGGCGGGTGGACTAGAGTCTGCGAGAGATGCGCCTCAGAGGAGACGGGTCTGTCTTTCCTGTGACGTGTAGAAACTGCAAGACAGGAGGGGTTCAGGTTGCTCTGTCTCCACTCCCACATCCACCAGGGCCCCCAGCTTGCCCAAAGCCAGGGAAGGCGGGAGCAGCCCGTTAGCCTGGCTGAGATGGGGCATAAAGCTGAAGCGGGGAGCACTGTGCAAGCTCCTACGCAAACACTGAAAGCCCTTTATACCTTTGTGAATGAAAAATAAATACGTAAGCAAGCCCTTCTGCAGGGGCCAAGAGTCTGCCTCTTTGGTAATGTTCCCTCTGTTAACACGGGCACTAGGCGGCGTTCACACAGGTGCAGGGAGTTTCCCTAAGACTCTCATGCCCCTCTCTCCTGTTTCCATAACATTTTAAGTGCCCTTGGAGCAGACAGTGGGTGAGTAGGGGAAGGGAGATGAGTATCCCCAAGAAAACACGTCTGGGAGACAGTCCTGTGCTCACTGTCCACCCCTGAAACCCTCCATCCCAGCCCCTTAGTTACCAGCACTGACTCTGGGAGCAGAGGGCTTGGCTTTGAATTCCAGCTCTGCCACCTGCTAGCTGCGTGACCTAGGGCAATTATCTTAACCTCTCTGTGCTTCAGCTTTCTCAGCTGTAAGTAGGGCTAACAACGGTCCCTACCTCTTAGTGTTGGCGTTCGGTTAAAATTGGTTCATGTGTGTGGTGCTGCTAATCTGCATGGCTGGTGAGGAGCCCACAATGGAAATAGGCGTCATCACCACCACTGCCACGTACACTGTTTCTGCTTCCCCCTCCCTCAGTCACAGCCCCTCACTGAGTGCTGGGGTGGAAGGGATGCTGGAGAACATCTAGGTCACGGTCCCCAACCCCCGGACTGCGGGCCGGTACCAGTCCCTGTTAGGAACCGGGCCAGCCATACAGTGGGAGGTGAGCTGCCACGAGCAAGCAAAGCTTCCTCTGTATTTACAGCCGCTCCCCACCTCTGTATAAGCTCTGCCTCCTGTCACATCAGCGAGGGGTCTGGGGCACACGCTCCTTATGAGAATCTAATGCCTGATGATGTGAGATGGAGCTCAGGCGGGGATGCTAGCGCTGGGGAGCAAATATAGGTTATCATGAGCAGAGAGGTTTGACTGCACAATAAACGTAATGCACTTGAATCATCCTGAAACCATCCATCCTGCCCCCCAGTCCGTGGAAAAATTGTCTGCCGTGAAACCGGTCCCTGGTGCCAAAAAGGTTGGGGGCCACTGATCTAGGGTAATGTTGGGGCTGGGGTTGTTGTGGGGGCTCCAGGGGACCCCTGAACCTCCTGCAAGCATTTGTGAATTGGGTGCATAACTGTTTTAGAGGAGGATGGCTGGCAACTTTTATTAGATCCTCACGGAAGGGCCCTCACCCTAAGAAGCACTAACCCAGCAACCCCTTGATGACAGATGAGGAAACTGAGGTCTAGAGAGGGAGAGACTTGCTCAAAGTCACTTAGTAGCAATCCAGCCTCTGGCTCCAGGACAGTGGCTCCTAGCAAGAACCCCAGGCCCTTGTGTGGCAGAGCCCTGGGGCCCTTAGCTCCCTCCCCTTCAGGCATGACTTAGCTCATGCATGACTTAGCTCATGCCTGAAGGGGGTGGGTGTGAGGTGGGGATCAAGGACCCTAGGGACCTTCCAGACCTGGTCATGGCCCCATACCCACCAGCCACCATGCAGAGCCTGGGAGCACTAACTCCAGGAGACTCAGCACATGTGAGCAGGGGAAAGATGTGACCTTGGAGCCAGAGCCGTGGGTGGCAGACCCTGTTCCTGTTCTGTGAAATAGGGCAGCAACTGTATCTATCCCACAGACCCGGTGCATGTCAAGCACTCAGTCACTAGGGCTTTTCTCTCTTCCTCCTCCCATCCCATCCTTCAGCTCACAGGCCCTTCCTCTCTGCAGGGAAACAAAGGTATAGACCAGCACGGGCAGGAAAGGGGGCCATCGGGGCAAGGAGGAGAGGCCTGGGGCAGAGCCAAGGCCACCTGGAAGAACACTCCATCCAGAAAGGAAGCTACCTGGGTTGTTGGCGGCCAACATCTGAGCACTCTGAGGCCGAGAGGGCAACTGGCTGCTGTCGATGAGGGACTGCTGCCTGTGGGACCGGGACTGCTTGGACTTGGGCTTTGACATCCCTGCAGCTGATGGGGGCAGTGGAGGAAAGGGTCAGTTCTGAGACACCAAGTCAGAGCTCTATGGGAACACATAGGGTGGGGAGAGGGCTGCAGGGCTGGGCACAGGCAGCCTCAGCTGTAGGGAGTCCCTTTTTGTCTGGATGTGTGGCTATGGTCCTTAGAAGCAATGCATCATTCATTCACATGTCCCCGCCCACCCACCCATCCAGCCGTCCGTCTGTCCATCCATCCATCCATCCATCCATCCATCCATCCATCCATCCATCCATCCATCCAGTCACTCATGTGGTCTCTGTGCCAGGTGTGAGTTCTGACCCGGGGTTTCCAGTTCAGGAGGGGAGGTGACTACAAAGGAGCATTCGTGGCTGTAACGCACTGTGGGAAGTAAGAAACAGCACACTTTGGGGGAGGTCAACTGGAAGTGGGCATTCAGAGGACGGGAGATCACTAAGTGGCAGGGGGCTCAGGTGAGGGCATTGCGCTGAGTCTTAAAGAAGGTGCGGGTGGGACGTGGCCGGGATGTGCCGTGGGCAGGGGCATCGGCAGGAAAGCCCAGTGGTGCTGCCCGAGGGTGGGGGCTGGCAAGAAAAGACAGGGCCACCACATCCTGGCCATTGGCTGTAGCTGGACAGTTGTCTTCCACCTGCAGACATTCACCTGGTGGCTTTGGGAGCGATCTGAACGTTTGGAGTCAGGGAAGTAGAGGAGGAAGGCACTCAGGGGTTGGCAGCCCAAAGAAGTGCCTGGCCTACCAAGAGATGAGTGTCCCTGTGGGACCCAAGCAAGGAGACTGAGGGGCCCTTGGGCCACCTGGACACTCACTGTCTTTGGTCAGAATGCCTGGCAGCCTTGTATCCATCCGTCCCTTGTAAATATGTCCGTCCAGGCCCAAGATATCCACCTCGTCGTGCTGCAGAGGCGGACATGCATCTGTTAGCACTGGGGCACGCGGAGCCTCCCGTTTGGCCCTGCCTCCACCAAGGCTGGGCGCAGGGTGCTGCTATCTCCTGACTTCAGGCACCAAACAGTGCTCAGAACCCTCCTGGGGGACTCAGGCAGCACGAGGGCAGAGAGACAAAGGGAAGGGAGGTGGAGACGGCATCATTCTGAGGGCCAGTGGCGGGAGGTAGTAGTGCTGGGTCGGGAGTAGCCAGGATGGATTCTTCCCCACACAGGATGAGAACCTGCAGCTTTAACTGGGTCTGAATTAGAAACTGCCTCAAGGCAGAGGGCTGGATGAGGCAACTTCTGGTGGTGTTTCCAGCATGACTTGGGAATCTGAGCCGTGTCAGGGCCTTCCTGTCTGGTGGCCCCCAGCAGGGCCCTACCTTCATGGCGATCTGGATCTCATCAGTGGGACACAGGCCCTGGGACAGGTGCTGCAGGCGGCTGCGGCGGTACGGGTAGGTGAGTGTATGGCTGCCCCCGCAGCGCCGGGGCACGGTGGAGTAGGTGTAGTCGGCCGTATCTGACACCCTGTGATGAAGACAGGGTGGAATCATCAGGAGCAGGCCACCAGGGACGTGACCTGGGACCTATCCATGGTGGGGCGGACCAGAGGGAAGTGGGCAGCTCTCTGCAGGATTTGCACGAGTCAGCACAGAGCAGGGGGTCCCGGGACAGCGGGGTGGGTGAGGTCCAACCTCGAGGCTGGACCACCCTGAAGACCACACGTATTCACACACTCTCAATCACATGCTCATACGCACACACGCACGTTTGCATGCACACGCACACACTCATATGTGCATATACACAAATATGCTCTCATACACTCATGTTCACACACTAACACACATATACACTCACACATATTCACACCAACACACGCTCATATGCTCACACACTCAAATATTTACACTCATGCACATACATACACACACACTCATATGGTCACACTCATACACATGCTCAGACTGACACACACACTTGCACATACACAAACACATACACTGACAAACAACACACACGTTCACACATACACTGACACTCAACACATACTCACACACTCATATGCTCACACACACCGACACAACACATACACTCATGCTCACACGCACATACATAACATACTTATGCTCACACATACACACTGACACACACACAAACACACTCTCCCACGTGCTTCCTTTTCTCCCTGGGGCTTTTGCCAGCAGCAAGATGAGGCGTTTGTCCACGTGGCCATGGCTGGGCAGAAGCCACACACAGTCGGCACAGTCTGCGCCCCTCAGACCCTGGCCGCCTGGGCCCTCACCGTTTGTAGCAGGGAGAGCTGAGGCACTGGGCCTGCAGCAGCTCGCGGATCATCTGGCTGCTGGCCTTGACGGAGCCCCCGAAGTGGATCTGCACCTTCTCGATGTCCATCAGCATCTTAGAGTGCATGGTGCGCAGGCGCCCCACGCTCCGCTCCATCTGCGTCAGGTCGCCCCGAGGGAAGGAACTGCCCAGCTTCAAGCTACAGAGCAGCAGGGAGGCAGGATCAGCCCAGGATCAGACAGGACCTCGGAGCCGCTCTGTGCCTCGCCCTTGTACAAGCCACTTCCTTTGGCCTCAGGTCCCTTTTTGTGCAGGGTCCTGTGTGAGCCAAGCCAGCCCTGAGTCCCGTGAAATGCCAGAGGTTTTCCTCCAGTGGAAAAGTACAGAGAGCCAAGTGGGCAAAGCCTCTGACCACTGGGGTGGAAGAGCCAACATCGGCCACTGGCCTCTCCTGTCCAGTCCCCAGCACCTGGCCCTGCATACCTGGAACCCCTAGGGCTCCAAGAGCAGTTTGAAGGTTTGAAGTCCTCTTTCCCATGAACCCCATCCTTAGGGGGTGAGGATGGCCTGTGCAACGCCCCACCCCCAGTAACCCTCAGGCTGAGCAATGCTGGCCCCTCTCCATCCCCTCCTCCTCCATCCCCTCCCCCCCCCAGGCTGCTGAGTCAGCTGAAGGATGGGGAGGTGGTGGGAAGCAGAGGAGCTCTCAGCTGCTACCCTTGTTAACGTCCCACCGTAACTCCCAACAGGTCTTTCTCCAACGCTCATCGGGAGAAAATCAGGGAGCTAGTTCAGAAATCAGTTTAGTGGCCCCCGCTGTCCCAGCCCCAAGGAGGAGGCCCTCTGCACAGTCCCCCAGAGCTGCTTTCTGTTGCACTCAGCCGTCTGTGCCCCAGCTTCCCGTTCCAAGGCACCGTCCCGGGACCCTGCTGCCCATACTTGCGGCTCTGCTGCCGGACCTGCTCCAGCTCAAACACCGTGTAGGGGCGCATGGATCGGTGTCCCGGCAGGCCTGGACCCACAGGTGTCAGGGGCATGATTCTGGAAAGGGGTGGGTCAGAGTGTGAGGAATCCCATCACCCAAGTCCACCTACCATCTACTCCTCCCCTTCTACCTGCCTCCAGAACTTTCCGGACCACCCAGGCTGGGCCCTTGTGCAGGACTGAGAAGGAAAGGAAGGGTGGCGGGGAGCAGGGGAGGAACAGCCCTGCCGGGTGGGTGGGCGTGGGCACTCACTGTCCGGTCAGAGGTGTCTCCAAGGGGCGGTCGCAGGAGAGGCAGTGGAAATGTGCCAGGAGCTGCCTGTTGGGAGGGGTGCACATGGAGGGTGAGCACCCTGCCCAGAGGGTCCCCAGAAGGGCTTGGCCCTCCGCAGGCCAGGCAGGCTGGGCACTCAGCCCTTCAGGGTGGCAGATCCCCGCCCTGCTCCCAGAACCCACCTGCTCCCAAGCTCATGTCCCACATCTGCCTGTCCTCATCCAAGGCCCACGAGGGTGCCCTGTGTGAGCCTTGGGGGCCCTCTGGTGGCCAAGAATGGGACTCTTGGGATTCAAGCCTGCCGGGGCTGGACTCCCAGAAGCTGTCTTAGCTCAGGGGACTGAGGACCCCCCTCCCTGACCCAAAGGCATAGGACACCCAAGGCCAGAGAGCCTCATGCTGCCTGCACTCCCTTTCTCCTGTGTGATGAAAGGGCCTGAGCTATAAGAGTCGAGCTCCAAAATCCTGTCCCTGCACCACAGGATGGTCCTGGGCAGGCCCGGCTGTGTGTGGTGGGAGCTGCTTGCTTGGGACTGCAGCCTGGCACCTTCCTGCACCGGCACAATGTGCCAGCTCCCTTGCTGCCGCTGCCGGGCCTCACCTCCGCATGGCGGCTGCCTCGTCAGCCTGGTAGAGCGGAGAGCGCTCCTTGAGCTGCTGTCGCAGCGACTTCCACCGGTCCTCCAGCGTCTGCTTCAGTGGGTCCAGCTCCAGGCGGTCCAGCTGCGGGGTCCAGGGCGACAGGTGAGCTCTAAGGCAACAGGTGGGGGTCTGGCCCTAGACAGGGTGGTGGTGTCCTGGGCCAGGGGCAGGATTATGGCGATGGAGAGCCCCCAGCCTGTGCCTGCCCCACACCTTGTTGTCCATCTCCGCGAGGAGCTTGTCTAGCATCTTCTGCCAGTCCTGCTCCTGCCCACTCATCTTGGCCACCAGCTCCTGCATCATGTGGTTCAGCTGCTCCGTGGTGGCATCAAACTGGATGCGGCTCACTTTGGAGGCCAGGGCACTCTTGTCAGCTTTCTGTCCAGAGAGAGAGGAGGCAGCCCCCAACCTGGGAGAGAGCCATGGAGGGGCCCCGTTCCCCTGGGGCTTTCCAAGAGCCCACGATCCTCTTGCCCCCTCCACTCCTGGCCTCTCAAAGAATGGCCAGTGAGACCTCCCTGGGACAGAGCAGCTCCAGGGCCTGGCACTTACCACGTCGATCTCCATCTCCAGGTTCTCCCTGTTGGCCTTTTCCTTTTCAAGCTTCTCCAGACCCTGGTACAGCACCTGGGGGCCAAGCGGGCAGAGATGAAGAGCCAGGAGCTGAAGGGCAGGGGGCAGAGTCGAGCCCCCACCCGCTCCTGCTGCCCCGCTGGCCGCTCACGTCAATGTCCTTCTGCTTCTGCCGATGGTCCTCGATGAGGTTGCCGGTCGTGATGTTGAGCTTCTCGCAGTCGCCCTGCACCTGCAAGATGGCGCTCTGCACGTGGCCCAGCAGCTCTTCGTCCTGCAGCAGGAGGGACAGGAAGGACCTCTGAAGCTGCTGGGGTGACCCCTGCCCCCACCACAGTATTGCCACCCCCTGATAAGGTGGCCTTAAATCATTGCCCAGCAGAGAAGCTAACTTCAGACCCCATCCTGGCTTTCCTCGGTTGCCTTCATCGTTTCCCACGAATGGTGGAGAAGGCGCTCTGCCCTTTCTGTGTGTCCACTACAGTGGGACAGGAGCACCAGTCACCCACATCCCCTGGACTAGCCTCAGGGGAGCCTGGCCTGCCGTGCAGGCAATCAGTGGAGTGCCAGAGGCTCAGGAGTGATGCTGCCCATGGCCCCTGAGAGCTGGGCTGTGGGCTTTAGTCTCCTCGCCTCCCCTGGGTCAAATCTGAATTCTTCAGTCCAAGAGGAAGGACTCATGGACTTGTGGCTGTCTGCAGCCCCCCAGTAAGCCTGCCCTTTGGAGGGAATGGGAAGGGGTGGGGAGACTGATATGCAAGCTGTCTCCTACAGCTGTGCCTGTGTCCCCATGGCATGTGAATGGCACTGCTCCACCCTTGGTCAGCCTGTGCTATCCCACCCCATAATCTCCTGTCCCCAGAACTAGATCTGCTGCCGCTCTTGCTGTGATCCTGGGGAAGGAGCAGGGACTTTCATGGATCTGACTAAAGGGCTCCACCATAGAAAATTAACCCTCAAGCCCAAACATCCGCTCCTGGGGGGCCGAGTCGGCCACTCCGTCTGCAGGCCTCCAGGGCTGCAGCTCTTCCCAGCGGGGCCGTGCCCAGCTGCACCAGGAGGGAGGTGGGTGGAGGCTCACCTGGCTCTGGAGCTTGGCTTTCCTGGAGGGCCGGGAGGCAGCCAGGTTGTTGACCATGTCCTGGAGGTGCTCATAGCGCTGCACCAGCATGCTGACCTGGTGGCTCACATCCAGGCTGCAGGCTGGACAGGTGGCTTCAGGGTGGATCTGGCCAGGAGCCACGGTCGTCAGGGTCTTGTGTGGGGTGGTCATGCTCATGGACAGCAGCGTGGAGGAGGAGGCCATCATGTTCTCCATGATTGTCCTGAGCTTGTCCAACTGGGTGGAGGAGAGACATTGGGGGCAGGGCAGTGAGGTGAGCCGCAGCAACATTCTGGCCACACTTTGCACTAGTAGTGGGGTACTTTCTGCCGCTCCCCTGCTGTGGTCAGGGGCAGGCACGGCATCCTGTGCTGCACAGGGCACGTGGCCCATAGCAGGCACTCTTATCTGTTATGTAGTGAGTGGGGTTTTCAGGGTGTGCAGCATTAATGCCAAACAAAGCTCTTGCAAGAGGGAGGTCTCTGGACCTTTCTCTAGCCAGCCCCTTGGTCCAGAGTGAGAACCTCTCTCCTCTAGCTAAATCCTATAGTGTTGCTGCCCGTTAGTCAACCCATAAATACTCAGAGAACCTTGATGACACACAGTCCTTGCCCTGGGCACAGAGGCTAGGAAGGGTGGGCTTGCACCTGCTCCGTCCCACGTAGCATGTAAATAACTAGTGATAAAAGAATGTGACAAGTGCTAACACTACCACAGGTATCTCTCATGGTCTGGGTGGTGCAAATCCCTTCCAGGGAGAGCAGCGAGACTCTGGGGTTGCTAAGCTCAGACATGAGCTTGGACTGACAGGTGACCTTTGCCCACTCTCCACTGCTTCACAAACAGGACAACTGGCTTGGAGTCATGAAGTGGTGCACACCACTGTCCCAGCAACTCAGGAGGAGCCTAGAAAGCAGCTTAAAGCACAAAGGGGTTCCTAACATGAATGCCCTTGCCCATGCCTATAGTGGCTTTTCGCAACTGCTCCATCTGTGAGCAGTTAGAAGCAGACACTCCTTACTGGGAAATGACCAAGGATAGCACCATTTAAGATGTAAAGGCAAACACTAGCAAGAAAAAAATGACAACCCATAGAGTAGGGGAAAATATTTGCAAGTCATATATCAGGTAAGAGTCTAGTGTCCAGAATATATAAAGAACTCTTTATAGCTCAACAATAAAGAGAACTCAGTTTTTCCACATGTTCCGGTTAACAAAAAAAAAAAAAAAAAAAGAGAACTCAGTTTAAAAATGGACAAAGGCTTTGATTAGTTGTCTATCTTATCTTTAAAGAAGGTATATAAATGGCTAAAAAGCACATGAAAAGATGCTCAGCATCATTAGTCATTAGGGAAATGCAATATAATAAGATACTTCACACCCACTAGGATGGCTATAATTTTTCTTAAAAGGAAATTGGCCGGGATCAGTGGCTCATGCCTGTAATCCTAGCACTTTGGGAAGCCAAAGTAGGAGGATCCCTTGAGCCCAGTAGTTCAAGACCAGCCTGAGTAAGAGTGAGACCCTATCTCTACAAAATAGAAAACTTAGCCAGGTGTGGTAGTGCGTGCCTGTAGTCCCAGGTACCTGGGAGGCCGAGGCAGGAGGATTGCTTGAGCCCAACAACTTAAGGTTGCAGTGAGCTGTGATGATACCCCATTGTATTCTACCCCAGGAAACAGAGTAAAACCCTGTCTCCAAAGAAAAAAAAAAAGAAAGAAAGAAAAGGAAAAAAAATTAAAATAAAAAGGAAATTAACAAGTGTTGGTGGGGATGTGGAGGAATTGAAAACCGTGTATGTTGCCAGTGGCAATGAAAAATGGTGCAGCCACTTTGGAAAGCAGTCTGGCATGGCTGGGCGCAGTGGCTCACGCCTGTAATCCTAGCACTCTGGGAGGCCAAGGTGGGTGGATTGCTTGAGGTCAGGAGTTCGAAACCAGCCTGAGCAAGAGCGAGACCCCATCTCTACTATAAATAGAAAGAAATTAATTGGCCATATATAGAAAAAATTAGCCGGGCATGGTGGCGCATGCCTGTAGTCACAGCTACTCGGGAGGCTGAGGCAGGAGGATTGCTTGAGTCCAGGAGTTTGAGGTTGCTGTGAGCTAGGCTGACGCCATGGCACTCACTCTAGCCTGGGCAACAAAGTGAGACTCTGTCTCAAAAAAAAAAAAAAAAAAAAAAAAAAAGCAGTCTGGCAGTCCCTCAAATGGCTAAACAGTTCTATGACCCAGCAATTCCACTCATAGGCATATACCCAAGAGAAATGAAAACATATCCACATGGACACTTGTACATGAATATTCATAGCAGCATTATTCATGATAGTCAAAGGGTAGAAACAACCCAACATATTTGAATAAACAAATGATGGTATAGCCACAACATGGAATGTTATTCAGCCATAAAATAAAGTACTGACACATGCTACAACATGGATGAACCTTGAAAACATCATGTTAAGAAAAAGAAGCCAGATGCACGAGGCATGTTGTATGATTCCATTCATATGAAATATCCAGAAGAGGCAAATCCATAGAGACAGAGGGCAGGTGAGTAGTTGTCAGGGGATGGGGGATGAGGAGAGACTGCTAAGGGGGACAGGATTTCTTTGTGGGGTGATGAAGTGCTTTGGAATTAGATTGTGGTAATAGTTGCACAACTTTGTGAATATACTTAAAACTACCTTGTTTATTTTAAAAGTGTGAATTCTATGATACATGAATATATAATAAAAAAAGAGAGAGAACAAAAATTTAATGGGAAGCAATTTAATGGGACCTCAGAGGGGCACTTTTCCCTTGCCACATGGGTCGCAGTCACCAACGCACCAGCGGCTTCAGAGCCGGCTTCGGATCAGGAAGGGGCTGAATCCTAGACACAGTGGCCCCATCCCTCCGCACACAGAGGGCACTGCGGGGGGAGGGCAGGGCCGCCCCACTGTCTGCTGCCCACCCTGAGAGGGTAGCTGGATAAGTGAAATCCTCACCTGCTCCTGCAGGTAAAGGGAGGCTTCGGAGACCGAATTTTCCATGGCAGCCTTGCCCCGCTCCTGGCTCTCCCTCAGCTCGGACAGCTCCTTCTCAATGTCAGCCACGGTGACTCTGCAGTGCGTGACAAGAGACCACCTGGCTCCGTGGCCAGCCCAGCGACCCGGCTCACCAGCGCAGAGCCCTGGCTGTCGGGGACACGGGAGGATGCAGATGAGGGGTTCGCGCCACCCTCCCGTGGGCCCTGTCCTGGCGGTAGCCGCCAGCATGATGGCCTGGAGGCTTCTGGGTGGTGGGACTGGGCAGCACAAAGAGAGCTCGAGGGGCTCTAGCAAGTGGTGTCCTCCAGCCTCCAACTGGGGACAGAATCTATGGAGCTTCTCCTTGCCCTTCTAAGCCCTGGTCCTGAGCTGTAGTGGGAACCTGGGGAGTGTCTACCAGTCCCTTGAGCTGGACATGGGCGACCCGAGGCGCAGACACTCCAGGTCAAAGATGGTGGTCAGTTTAGGGGCACGAGTGAGCCAACAGCCACCGTCACCTCCTTGGCTGAGAGCATGTGATGCCAGGAGACCAGCTGCACCTGGCCGGGGCACTTTACCTGAGGACGCCCAGCTGCAAGCTCAGCTGGCTACTTTTCAACTCCTTCCCCAATTCTTGCTCTCCTTCGCCCTCCACGACCTTTTGCAACCTGTCCAGCTACAAACCCCACAAAAGGGAGTGTCAGGTGGCCCCAGTTCCCACTTCCCCTATTCCCTAATCCTAACCCACCCCCTCTGACAAGAGCCAAGGTCCTCGCAGACACCCACCATCCGTCCATGGATGTAGAAAGCTGTCATTGAGAGAGTGACTGAAGGTCAAGCAGCCCTTTGCAATGACCTCAGGCCCCCAAAAGTCCCACAAACTGGGCTTGAAGGCTGCCACATGTAGTGAAAAGAGCAAAGGTCTTGTTTGGCTCAGCTGAATTCTAACATCTTTGAGCATCACTTTATAGATCCAAAAAATGAACGCGATGATAATCTGAGGTGCATTTCCTGACAGGATGGCAAGACCCAGCACATAATAATGCACGGGAAAGGACTGTATAACCCGTCAATATACAATGGCAACTGCTATTATTAGCATTAAACGACAAAGTAGGTCGACCCTCCCTTTCTTACTTTTGCTTTTTCCTGCCGAATTTCTCTGGTCAAAGTCTTTAATGTCTTCAGCTGTTCCTGCAGGTCAGGCGGTAAGGACTTTTTGACTGTGGAAAATAGAGGCCTTGTTATCTGAGAGGTTAGATTTCCATTTCTAGGCCCCATAACAATGAAGACTCCCCAGAGAACAACAGGACATGTCACTTTATCCTGCTTCTCCTGGTGACCGGGGAGACGGGTTGGAGAGAGGAAGAGAGAACTGTCCTTAGCCCATAAAAAATCCACCTAATGCTTGACATCCTAAAAGGCTTTGGGACAACTGACTTGCCATTTCCAGTCACCTCTAAAATCTTTTATTTATTTAATTTTATTTTTTTGTGAGACAGGGTCTCACTGTGTCGCCAAGGCTGGAGTGCAGTGACGTGATCACAGCTGGCAGCAACCTCAAACTCTTGGGCTCAAGTTATCCTCCTGCCTCAGCCTCCTGAGTAGCTGGGACTACAGATGTGTGGCCACCACACCCAGTTAATTTTTCTACTTTTTTGTAGAGATGGGGTCTCACCTTTTCTCTGGCTGGTCTCAAATTCCTGGTCTCAAGTGATCCTCCCATCAGCCTCCCAAAGTGCTAGGATTACTGGTGTAAGCCACTGTATCTAGCTACAATCTTAATTATTCTCTGGGCCTAGAGTTGTGAAGGGGCAAATATTAAGCTTAATTCTTCAATGTTCTCTCTCCCTGCCACCTGCCAATACTTTCCCTCACCCCAACGATCACCCCAGCTCACCCCAATCCCTCACCCCAGGTGCTGTCCAGAGGCTGACACAGCCGTAAGAACCTGCTTCATTCCTCTCTTGAGGCTCCTTCCATCCTACCGGTTTAGTTCTACCCTTTGCCTACCTAGTCATTTGGGCCCTGAAGGCTATGAGAGAACCTGAAATGACTACAGATGAAAATGCTGTTTTCAACTCTGGGAGGCCGAGGCGGGCGGATCACTCAAGGTCAAGAGTTCGAAACCAGTCTGAGCAAGAGTGAGACCCTGTCTCTACTAAAAATAGAAAGAAATTAATTGGCCAACTAAAAATATATAGAAAAAATTAGCCAGGCATGGTGATGCATGCCTGTAGTCCCTCCCAGCTACTCGGGAGGCTGAGGCAGGAGGATCACCTGAGCACCAGGAGTTTGAGGTTGCTGTGAGCTAGGCTGATGCCACAGCACTCTAGCCTGGGCAACAGAGTGAGACTCTGTCTCAAAAAAAAAAAAAAAAGAAAAGAAAAGAAAAAAAAAAGAAAAGAAAAGAAAAGAAAAGAAAGAAAGAATAGAAAATGCTGTGTTCAGGTGCTCTGGAAGAGGTCCAGCAGCCTGAGTTCAGGCCAAGGGGAGGAAAGGATGAAATCAACTTAAAACTAAGATAATGGTCTCCCCTCCATGGGCAAGCAGTACTCACCCATGAGCGCCAGCAGGTACTGGATCTTCTCCAGATCAGTCTGGCCAGCTTGCTCCTCCTTCAGATCCTTCATATGCTCCTTCAGCTCCACATAAAGGGCGATAAGCTCTCCCATCAGACGAAATGTTTCCATCGCTATGGGGAAACTGGGAGCCAATTTATCTATGGACTCACGTCGTTCACTGTGGCCCTCACTCCCTTCTGATGAGACTTTGTTGAGGGAGTCTGGACGCCTGTAAAAGGTGACATCTTGGCCTGGGGCAGTACGAGCAGGAGCTCCAAGTTGACGTGAGGCATCCATTGGCTCCAAACGTACCTGGCCATGCTGATCTGCACCTTTGTCTACCTGGTCAGGCTGATCTGGGCCAGGTGATACCAAATGTTGTTGATCTGGGAGTACAAATCCCAAATCTATGCTTAATGGTGTGAAGCCAATCTGGTCCATGCCAGGATGCAACAAATCCTGCTGGTAAGTTTCTGGTGGTACCAAACCCCTTTGGTCTGTATCTGGTGGTGCCAAACCTTCGCTGGCTAGTAGTGGTGACACCTGGTCATGTTGTTCTCTGCCAGGAGGTGCCTGAGAACTCTGAGAATCTGCATGGAGTGTTGGAAAGCCACGAAGCTCTGTGCCTGGTGCGATCAAGCCTTGCTGATCTGCGCCAGGTTGTCTCAAACCATGCTGATCCATTTCAGGCTGTACCAAACCACGTGAATCTACACCAGGTTGCACTAAACCATACTGACTTGCACCAGGTTGTACCAAACCAGAAGGATGTGCACCAGGTTGCACCAAACCAGGAGGATGTGCACCAGGTTGCACCAAACCACGCTGACCCATTCCAGGTTGGACCAAACCACGCTGATATGCACTAGGTTGGACCAAACCCCACTGACCCATTCCAGGTTGGACCAAACCACTCTGATCCATTCCAGGTTGGACCAAACCACTCTGATCCATTCCAGGTTGGACCAAACCACTCTGATCCATTCCAGGTTGGACCAAATCATGCTGATCTGCACCAGGTTGAACCAAACCAGGCTGACCCATTCCAGGTTGGACCAAACCACGCTGATATGCACCAGGTTGTATCAAACCACGCTGATCCACGCCAGGTTGGGCCAAGCCATGCTGATCCACTCCAGGTTGGACTAAACCATGCTGATCTGCACCAGGTTGTGCCAAACCAGACTGATCCATTCCAGGTTGCACAACTTCATACTGATATGCACCAGGCTGGGCCAAACTGTGCTGATCTGTACCAGGTTGTCCCAAACTAGGTTGATATGCACCAGGTTGAACCAAGCCAGGCTGTACTGCACCAGGAAGTAACAAGCCAGGTTGAACTGCACTAGGAGGTACAAAGCCAGGCTGTATGACACCAGGAGATAGCAAGCCAAGCTGAGCTGCACCAGGAGGTCCCAAGCCATGCTGTATGACACCAGGAGATAGCAAGCCAAGATGAGCTGCACCAGGAGGTCCCAAGCCATGCTGTACTGCACCAGGAGATAGCAAGCCAAGCTGACCTGCACCAGGAGGTACCAAGCCAGGCTGTACTGCACCAGGAGGTAGCAAGCCAGGTTGAGCTGCACCAGGAGGTCCCAACCCAGGCTGTACTGCACCAGGAGGTACCAAGTCAGGCTGACCTTCACCAGGAGGTAGTAAGCCAGGTTGACCTGCACCAGGAGGTCCCAAACCAGGTTGAGCTGCACCAGGAGGTACCAAGCCAGGCTGACCTGCACCAGGAGGTACCAAGCCAGGCTGACCTGCACCAGGAGGTACCAAGCCAGGCTGTACTGCACCAAGAGGTAGCAAGCCAGGTCGACCTGCACCAAGAGGTACCAAACCAGGTTGACCTGCACCAGGAATTACCAAGCCAGGTCGACCTGCACCATGAGGTACCAAGCCAGGCTGACCTGTACCAAGAGGTACTAAGCCAAGTTGAGTTGCACCAGGAGGTACCAAGCCAGGTTGAGCTGCACGAGGAGGTACCAAACCAGGCTGACCTGCACCAGGAGTTACTAAGCCAGGTTGAGCTGCACCAGGAGTTACTAAGCCAGGTTGACCTGCACCAGGAGGTACCAAGCCAGGCTGACCTGCACCAGGAGGTACCAAGCCAGGCTGACCTGCACCAGGAGGTACTAAGCCAGGTTGAGCTGCACCAGGAGGTACCAAGCCAGGCTGACCTGCACCAGGAGGTACCAAGCCAGGCTGACCTGCACCAGGAGGTAACAAGCCAGGTTGAGCTGCACCAGGAGTTACTAAGCCAGGTTGAGCTGCACCAGGAGTTACTAAGCCAGGTTGAGCTGCACCAGGAGGTACCAAACCAGGCTGACCTACACTAGGAGGTCCCAAGCCAGGTTGAGCTGCACCAGGAGGTACCAAACCAGGCTGACCTACACCAGGAGGTACAAAGCCAGGTTGAGCTGCACCAGGAGGTACCAAGCCAGGTTGACCTGCACCAGGAGGTACTAAGCCAGGTTGAGCTGCACCAGGAGGCACTAAGCCAGGTTGACCTGCACCAGGAGTTACTAAGCCAGGCTGACCTGCACCAGGAGGTACTAAGCCAGGCTGACCTGCACCCGGAGGTACCAAACTAGGCTGAGCTGCACCAGGAGGTCCCAAGCCAGGCTGACCTGCACCAGGAGGTCCCAAGCCAGGCTGCACATTCCTGGTGCGGGTCAGGCGGCCTGGCAACTCCTGGTGCGGTCCCCAGCTCTGGCCTGGCACCTCCATGGTGCGGGTCCCCTGGCCTGGCCCTCCTGGTGCGCTCCACATGGCCTGGCACCCTCCTGGTGCCGGTCAAGCCCTGGCTGGCACCCAGGGCACCTGTTGCGCTCAGCTGGCCTTGGTAACTCCTGGAGTCTGCAGGTCACCCCTGAGCTGGTAACCCGGCGTCTCTGGCGGTGCAGGTACAGCCTGGCCCTGCGTACCGGCCTCTGGTGGCAGGTCAGACCTGGCTTGGGACTCCTGGTCGCAAGTACAGCCTAGGCTTGCGGACGTCCTGGTGCCAGGTCAGCCAGGCTGTACTGCACCAGGAGGTACCAAGCCAGGCCTGAATCTGCACCAGAGGTCCAAGCCAGGCGTACCTGCACCGAGAAGGTCCAAGCAAGCTGACCTGCACCCAGGAGGTACCCAGGCCAGGCTGTACTGCACCAGGGAGGTACCAGGGCCATGCGGTGACCTGCACCAAGGAGGTTAACCAGGCCCAGGACTGACCCGCCCAGGTAGGTGCCAGGCCAGGCTGACCCGCACCAGGAGTGCCAGGCCAGGCTGACCGCCACCAGGAGGGGTGCCCAGGCCAAGGCTGACCCGCACCAGGAGGGTGCCAGGCCAGGGCTGACCCCACCAGCGAGGTGCCAGGTTCCAGGCGTGACCCCCGCACCAGGAAGGATGCCAGCAGGCCTGACCGCACCAGGAAGGTGCCAGGCCAGGCTGACCGCCCAGGAGGTGCCAGGCCAGGCTGCACCCGCACCAGGAGGTGCCAGGCCAGGGCTGACCCGCACCAGGAGGTGGCCAGGCCAGGCTGACCCGCACCAGGAGGTGCCAGGCCAGGCGTGACCCGCACCAGGATCCCAGGGCCAGCTGACCCGCACGCGACAGGAGGTACCGAGCCAGGTTCGAGCTGCACCAGGAGGTACCAGGCCAGGCTGACCTCACGCAGGAGGTACTTCAAGAGCGCGGCGAGGCGCAATGAGAGTTTACCCAAGCAGCGTTGAGCTGCACCAGGCGAGGTATCAAGCCAGGTTGAGCCTGCACCAGGGAGTTATAAGCCAGGCTGACCTGCACCAGAGTACGCAAGCCAGGCTGACTGCAACCAGGAGGTGTACCAAGCCAGGTTGAGCTACACAGCGAGTTTATCTAAGCCCCAGGTTGGCTGCACCAGGAAGTACTAAGCCAGGCCTTGAGCTGCACCAGGAGCTTACTCAACCAGGGCATGACCTGCAGCCCAGGAGGTTACAAAGCCAGGCTGAACCCCTGCACAAGAGGTTATAACTCACAGCCAGGTTTGAGCTGCACCAAGGAGTTACTACAGCCAGGTTGAGCTGCACCAGGAGTTACTAGCCAGGATTGGAGCTGCACCAGGAGTTACTAAGCCAGCGCTGACCGCACCAGGAGTAAACAACGCCAGGCTGACCTGCAACGAGGCGCGTGGGCAGCGGCTGTGGCGCACGTCTGGAGAGGGAGACCAGGAGTTTACTCAAGCCAAGGTACTGAGCTGGCACCAGCGAGTTACTACAGAGCCACAGGTTGACCTGCACCAGGAGGTAACAAGCCCAGGTTGACCTGCACCGACGGGAGTGTTACCCTAAGCCAGGTGAGCTGCACCAGGAGTTACTAAGCCAGGTTAGCTGCACCCAAGAGGTACCAAAGCCAGGCTGACCTGCACCACGGAGGTACCAAGCCAGGCTGACCTGGCACCAGGAAGGTACAACAAGCCAAGGCTGACCTGCACCAGGGTCTACTAAAGCCAGGTTGAGCGCACTCAGGAGGACCAAAGCCAGGGCTGACCTGCACACCAGGAGGTACCAAGCCTAGGCCTGACCCTGCCACCAGGAGGTAAACAAGCCAGGCTGACCTGGCAC